CTGTAGCTCTCACCCCCCTCAAGCCATCTTAGAAGAGAGCTGCACAATGACAGTGTCATTGAGGTTTGGATGGGAGGGGAATGCTGCAGCAGAAAGCCCGGGCCTTAGGTTCACTGCAGAGAACCTCCTTGGAAATAAGACATGGGGAATATCTAAGCATTAAATATCTGAAGAAATGAATATATTTAGTCTGCCAATCATCTGATCGGTGGAGGTAATGCACCTGGTTGCCAATTAAATCAGAAGAAGAAGCTGGATCAGCTGATCTCAGCTCTAACAGCTGGAGAGACTCTTGATGGAGTTTGTATCTGCACACATGTGATCTGTGCTGATACTAAGACTCAGTTCTCCCTGCAGAGCTGCAAGTTTTCTCTCTGTAGCTGTTTAACAAACACCTGCACATGAAGACCAACCTGCATTCTGTATTTATACTGAGCTGGTTCTCATCTCAGGGCGTCAAACAGGCTGCTGATGCTTTGCCAGCTTTCTCAAAGCGTAGGTAGGCCTGCTCAGATTGGCAGAATGAGTTTTTATTATTTATTCAATAGCTGCATCTGTATTTACTGATATTCTGATTAAGTATTCATTATTTAATAACTCAGAATATGATAACGGTGTCCTTTGATTTATTAGACTAAATGTTTCAGCTGACTTTAGCTCAGTTTGAGGCTTTCCTGGGGCCTGTACCATGAAGCATGTTTAACATAACCAGGATATCTTTTCGGTATCTGGCTTCACTAACTCTAACAATCAGGATCAGGATAAGCGGTCACACAAAGCAGCTATTTGGAGCAGCTATTTAAAAGTGTGGGGTGGGATGTGAGCACAAAGCCTGTCTGCAGCCATTATGTCCATCTTGCTGCTAAACTACACAGTGCTTTGTTTTTTTGCTTAAAAAAAAAACAAAGTTAGAACAGCACTGACTTTTATCAGTTTATCTTAGAAAATGCAGTTTCCAGTGTGAAAGCCGAGGTATTTAAAGAAATCTGCTTGTTATTGTTGGATCTCAGCTAATAATGAGCTACACTTCATAAAGGGGAAACACACAGCACACTCTAATAACGCCAACTTATATTATTTTGTCATAAAAAAGTATTTTAAGTTTTACAGAAATTTTTGTAGTCGCAACTTGTTCTCAGTTTAGACAAAAAAGAACAAAAAAATAACACAAACTCAAAATCAAACAGGTTGGAATTATCATGATATAATGTTTTACTTAACGGATATCATCCAGTTCAACAAGTGTAACTGTGTTTTCAACTGTTCCCTATAGTTTTAAATAACCACAGTGCTAGTTGTGCTAAGAGTGAATTGTTATAAGATAGAACCAAAGCTGTTGTATGTCCTAACTCTGCATCTGAGTTTTACTGTATCTTTAAATTCAAGATAAAAAGGTGTGAGAGGATTGCAGTTTATTATATGCCTCGTTTTACTAATATTGTTCTGTATTATCGTTGCTGTTGTCACAACATCCCAGCTTTGACTAGGCTGTGTGTGTGTTCTGTTACTTTCTCTTTCTGAGTGTGTGATTCTGGCTGGTGTGTTTTAGTTTTTTTCTCTCTCTCTTCCTTGCTGCTCTACCTTTTCTACCTTGGCAGGAGGCGTGACATGTGGTGACGCATGGGGCTGGTTCACACGCCTGTCTGGCACACCGGATTCTCATCATGCCTATATGTGCTGCTTGATAAGCCCAGCAGTTCTCCTCGGTCTTTGCCGGATTGTTATGTTGAGTTCAGTGCGTCTCGAGCCAGCATCCAGCCTCGTGGTAACTTTGTATTTTCTGACCGTTCATCTCGTGTTTCCTGTTAGCCGCTGGTTAACCTTCTCTGTTCTCTGGTTTTTCCTAGCCTGGAAAGACGCCAACCCGAGAGGTTACCCTGCCTGTTTCTTTGGGGATCACACCCTCGTCGTCTCACGCTGCTTGCCTGCCCACCGGCAGACCGTCAGTCCTTCCGGAGCCACCAGCACTGATCACCGTCACGAGTCTCACGCTACACTCACTTACCACGATCAGTCCAGCAGACTTTTAGCTCTTATTGACTCTGGAGCAGAAGAGAGTTTCTTAGATGAAGTGTGGCAGAGCAGCTGAGAATCCCCACTGAACTGCTAGATACGCCACTAAACTAATGCTCTAGATGGTAAATTATTGGCCCTGGTTGTTGCTCGCACCTGCCCAGTCGAGCTACAGTTATCTGGTAACCACATCCAACAGATTCTTTTGTTATTACACTACATTTAGCTGAGCTGATTAGTTTCCCCTTTGTGCCACTAGTTCTGGCCATTACCCCAATATGGACTGGGCCACCTCAAGGATCATTAGCTGAAGCGCTACCTGTCATGCTAGCTGTTTGTTTCTGCCACACCCTGTCTGTTTCCCGTCAGGTGGAGAGCGCTGTAGAGCCCTTCCAGTGTATTTACGGATATCAGCCTCCTCTGTTTCATTCCCAGGAGAAGGACATTGCAGTCCCCTCAGTCCAGGCTCATATCCGTCTGTGGCATCGAGCCCGTTCCACGCTGCTGAGGACTTCGACATAGTACCAGAAACTATAATTTCCTGTAAATTGTCTGGTTTTTTTACATGTTTTCAGAAAAATTTATCAAAATTTTAATGTAGACATTGCATCTGTAATTATTTACAATTTAGATGTGGAGTTATTGATACTAATTGATCAATATGAAGAACCATAAGTTACAGTGTGAAATTATAATTTATTACAACTTAAACAGAAGTGTCACGGCTGTCACTGTCACCTTTGTGTTTCCCCTTTTTCCTGTCTCACCTCTACCAAGTAGGCTGTGTCCCTGGGGAATGAAGACCCGCCTACTTCCTGGTTTCTGGGTTGCTGACATCTGTCTCGCCCATTGGTTCCCTCTGTTTCCACTCAACCAATGGCCCGTCACCACGTTAATTACCTCCGGCTCATAAGGAGAGTCCACCTGTTGCTCCAGGCAGCTTGTCACCGCCTGTTGACTTGTGTGCTGCTGGTATTGACTGCATAGCCTGCTGTTAGTTGTACTCTGTGTTTAGTGGAACTATCCACCTTCCTTGCTTATTAGCTGTACATTGTGTTTAGGGAAACATTTGCATACCTTTGTTTGTTAGCTCCACATTGGGTGCAGTGGAGAAATTCACTTAGTGTTTTGTTTACTATTGTGTTTTCACCAGGTGGAGTGGGTGTTGTGCTCTTTGTGTTCTTTTGTAGCAAGAATCAACTCTGCTTAAATCGATAGATAGGTACAGGCCTCCTTTTGAGGACCTTTTTATTTTAATTTGGTTTGTTATTTTTGCAGCACCCGCGTCCACCCTCCTTTTGTTTTTTGTTACCTGTCTACATCTCTGTTACCAATGAAAGTTACCTTGTTAAGATCTGTACCAGTTGTGCCTATATGTTTATGGCCCCCACACCCCTAGACCAACAGGGGGTCGTAACATAAGTAATAATTAAAAGTTGTTGCAACTTTGGTTGAGTTAAGAGAACGTCAAACCGAAAATTGATCAGACTCAAGAGCAAAACTTAAAATATTCAGTTTAATTGCCCAACTTAGAAGTTTGGTAAATTTTATTGGCTTAAAATTTTAAGTTCAACTTTTTCTTTTTACATTGTGGACTTTACTAACTTCTACTGAAACATGTTGGTCTGATCTGTTGTGACTGTCCCTGTCACACTTTATCATTTCTGCCCCAAATTATTATCTAAAAAAGTCTGAAAACTTTAAGAGTTGTGAGGAAACCTCACTTGGTCAGAAAGTGCAGGATGCCTCCCTGCTAACAGCAGGTTGGGCTTTATGTTCATATAGACAACGGAGATTTGTCAACCAGCAGAGATTTTGTTGAACCTTCATTTATCAGCTTTTAATTCACTGAGTTGCTCAAAGACAAACATTCACAGTTTGGTCTACAAACTGATTTTTATTGGATTTCCAGAAAATGTACAATTTCATATAAACTGACATAAACTGTGGTTTAAGATTTTATCCATATTGCCAAAAACACAACAGCTGCTGCAAAACAGCTGCTCTGAATCACATCCTAAACAGCAGCATGATTAGATCGAATAAAATGAAACAAACAATGGAATGGATTTTTTTCCTTATTTGTCCAAAAAATAAAACGCTTCGCGAACACAGTTTTGGGAAAGCATACATTAAAAAAACACTAAATTAAAACATGTATGAGAAACTAAAATAAAAAGTGCTAAAGACGTGTTGAGATGCTCTCCCTGTGTTAAACATCCAAACAACAGTCCAAATAAAGATTTAGGAAGAAGACAGCGAGGCGGCTAGAATGAGCTCAGTTCATCTAAAATAATATCTGCTTTGCTTCTGGGATTAAAGGAGAATAATGACAGACATCAACTTCCAGCTCCAAACTAATAAAACACATTTTATTTCCATGTGTTGAAGCCATCACAGTGAACCAGAGCAAGTTGACCAAAACATTTCCCAGCAGCCACTTCTCCCACAGCAGAGTCCAAACAGTGCTTCCTGTTCTCTACAGTTAGGTGTCTTATTGGAAATGGTCTCAGTAGATGACAGGATCTGTCTCGTCTCTATCCTTTCTATTGGCCTCCATTTCTCCTCCTGTTTCCTCCTTTCTCTCTCTCCCTCTTTCTCTGCCTACATGAAGCTGACTGTGGAAATGTTGTCATCATTCATACTGATGGACTGCTGATATCATTGCTGTCCATTCTGCAGCAACACACAGAGGCCAAAAGCTTGTCTATGAACCCTTTCCTCATGAGACATACAGGAACAAGTCTGCAAGAGGACTCAACTTAACAAAGATGAGAGACAGAAGGTTGAGTCTAAAGTCTACCAATTGGTTATTGTCAGTGTATTCTTTCAAGAACCAAATGATGCTGGGCAGGAACAGCAGCGTGTAAATAAGCAGCACCAGAACCAAAATTCCCACAATTCGTCGTTTTTCATCAGAGGGGACCGAGATGGAAGCAGACAGGGCTTTGAGGGTCCCAACCAGGGAGAATATGAACAGTGGGAAGGGAAGGAGGAGGAGGACGGTGAGGATTATGTATGTGGTCAGATAATCAACAAAATAGTAAAGGACACCATATACAAGAAAAAGGACCCAGACCAGGACACAGACCACCACAGAGCTCCTGATGGTTCGTCTGAAGCGGTACCACAGCGGGTGGGCGATGACCAAATACCTGTAACACAAGATGGACACAAAGTCTTTGAGGAGCTTCAGAGTTATAAACTAAATAATGTTCAGACACAGAAGGAGCTCCACACATACTGGATAGACAGACAGATACCTTTCCAGGGAGATGCAGACCATGAAGCCAATACTGGCAAACAGAGCAGAGAGTAAATATATAGAAGATCTCAGATATCTTCCATCCACAGTGGTACCACCTGAACGATCATGCAGCAGAGCTGAATCAGGTCGTAATGAGAAGGTTGATGACGTAGATGGGAGCAACATGATCTCTTCTCACCTGCAGGAAAACATTGGTAAAAGTCAACAAGCAGTTGGAAACATGTTGTGAAGTCCACCTCCTCCCAAATCTGTCATCTTGCTCTGCCCAAATAATAATAATAATACATTTTATTTACAGGCACCTTTCAGAACACTCAAGGTCACCTCACAAAACATCTTCAAACAGTCTAGAAATACATTTATAAACTAACAGCAAAAACGAAGGTGGATAAGATGTTAGGATGGTTAGTTGCGTTGGTGTTAACCCCGTGTTAACTTAATTGGAGTTGGTGCATGTTCGCATAAAAGGGGCGTGTTTGGCCGTGCAGGCAGTTTTTTCGCAAAAAAGCCTTTGCAAGGCTGCAACATCACACACACATGTCTGCAGTGTATTATACATGCATTGGAAAGTTATATTAAACTTTGCAATCAGATTTAGCAGAGAGGAAAAACTCCTGAGTTTAGCCCACAATCACTATCATGCACCTCAGAGACTTTGCCTTGGATCGGGCGTATTCAGAAGAAAACACCAGTGTAAATGTCTGATAAATCGCATTAATATTCTCCTACATAGTATTATATTTATATTTTAATAAGACATTGTAGTTCTGCTTTTATTTTGAAAGGCGCCGTTTTCTTATGTTTTGTGACGCTAAACTTCCTGCTACTTTTCTCTTCACAATGTGGTGCTCACGCGTCGTCGGAAGAACGGTAAAAACTGGTAAACACGTTATTTATCATGTTCATCTATTTGAATCTTGTAAAGAAGGAGTTTACATTGTGATTTTATTATTTTTGTGTTGTTTGTACATGTTATTTCTAAGACCTACGAACTGTGAGCGTGTGTCGAGCTAGAGAGCGTGATAGCCGATGGCGAAACCATTTGATTAGCTTCCTTGGAGAGCGGAATGAGGTATGAAAGAAAATGTGTCTAGTGTATTATTATCAGAAGGGATTTTGTTTAAGGAAAGGAGAATGTCATTACTTCATTTGTTTATGGGTTAATTGCACATGTCATTAACATAAAAGCAATATTATTTCTGTGAACAATTATAATATATTGTATTTCATTTAAAGGCATGTGATATTTATTTGTCATAAAGACTTAAAAACATTTCATTTCATATTGGTTGTTAGTTAAATGATTTGTATTGTGTGTAAACATGATAAATATGAACACAATTTATGTGCAAATATTTGTGAAGCTACATAGAAGCCTTTTGTGTTTCTTCTGTTTTATTCTGTAGTTTTCACGGTGTTCATGGTGCATGGTGCACGTTGAGAGGAATAATAAATCGACACCCGTTTGAAACTCTCTGCGTCTTGATCAATAAATCCAAGGGGCCGCTACAACCAGATTTCGATTTTTTGTGACATTAATTTCAGGGGAATTTCCGATTTTTCTTCTTGTAAATTTCACACTTTGATCTTGGATTTGTTTTCTGTTTCCTGTCTGATTTCCTCTCTAAAATCCCAGCTCGGCTGCAGGGCTCGCTGTCTGAATGTAATGCTGTTGTGTTCAGAACTTCACCGCAGCCGCAGTGGAACAAATCAGGCTGAAATCTAAACATATTTAAGTGGTGTGTATTAATATCCTACTTCTCATCATTAACACTGAGTACAGATGTGGTGTGTAGTCCACGTGCAGGGTAACCTCGATTTAACCACGAACAAAACCTGCTCGGAGCAGTTTAGAGATCCAGCGTAAATTGCCATGGCAACAGACCTCGGGTAACACCTATCCACCTTTTGTGGTACGGGTAAACCAGGAGGTTACACCCGACGTCATGAAGTTACTCCTGAAGTTACGGATAAGCCAGTTACCCTGCTTGGTAGTACAGGCCACTGATGAACAGTGATCATGATCATTTATATGCCAGTTTAAAAAGATGTGTTTTCAGGCGGGAAACATGTTTTGTGAAAATACCTCATTTTGATCTTCCAATCAAACTCCCTCCACGTCGGGCTGCTAGTTACCTTATGTCCTGCTTTGAATGTTTCTTCCCATTGTTCATCTGTTATTATAATATTTGCTTCCAATTCCCATTTTTCCTTGACATCCAAATTGTTATTGTTAGATTCCATTGTACCTTATACAGTTTTGATATAATCCCTTTCTTTGTTTCTCCCTCTGTATACGCCATTAACAATTCTTCTAGTTTCGACGGGTGTTAGAGATCTTCTCCCACTCCTTATGTGTCTTAAGGTAATGTCTTAGTTGTAGAAACTTAGAAAAAATCATGGGCTGGTAAATTAAATTCTTGTGTTAACTGTTGAAATGACTTCAGGGTTTGTCCCCTAAACATTTGTGCAATATATTTTAACCCCTGTTGTGTCCATCTATTATATCCTGCATCCATCATAGATGGCAAAAAATCTGGGTTTGTCGAGATTCGAGCGGCTCTACAAATGGTGTTTGACAGTTTCAATTTCTTACGTACCATTGAGCATATTCTCATTGTCCCCCTGATCCAGACTTTGCCCACCTTCAGCCTCTTTAGTGTTACCTCACTCAAAAATGGAAGCGACTCTATAGGTACATTTATAGAGTTTTGTTCCATTCCCACCCACAATGTATCTGCATCATTAGTAATCCACATAATAAAGCCCTGAGTTGAGCAGCCCAATAGTAATTGTTTAAATTGGGTAAATTTAACCCTCCCTTCTCTTTTGGACAAAGAAGTGTCTTATATTTAATTATTTTTCCAAATAATTGGGATATAATCTTGTCTAACATCTTAAAGGTAGAGTTAGAGACCATAATAGGCAATGACTGGAACAAAAACAACAGTCTTGGTTGTACATTCATTCTCACAGTTTCTATCCTCCCCATCAGAGTCAAAGGCAAAATCTCCCACCTCTTTTTTAATTTCAGTTATCAATTTCCCATTGTTCGCTTCAAATAGCTGTGACGTAGCAGAGGTAATAATAATACCCAGATATCTGAACCCTATATTAGTCCATTTGAACTTGAATTTCCCCTTTAAATCAGCTGGACATTGACCTGAGAGCATCATAGCTACTGATTTAGCCTCAGATATCCTGAGATCTCCCCATACTTGTTCAGGTTATTCACCAGGGCTATTAATGAGGTGGAAGGTGCATTTATATATGTTAATAATCGTCTTCGAATAGTGATATTTTGTGTTCTGTCCCCCTCATCCCTGTATTCCCTTTATATCTTTATTCTGTCTTATTGACTCAGCCAGTGGTTCTATACTTGCAGCAAACAGTAAAGGGCTCAGACAGTCTCCCTGTCTGACTCCTCTTTTGAGTAGGAAAAAGTCTGAGCAACACCCATTGACTCTAATCCGTGATTTGGGGTTTTTGTATATCATTTTCACCCAGTCTATGAAGGTTGTGTGAAACCCGAAATTTGCAAAGTTTGGTAAAGGAAGCTCCACTTTACTCTGTCAAATGCTTTTGTGCATCTAAGCTGAGCAGCATGGCTACTTTTTACTTTTACTTGAGTAGATTTTTATATCAGTAACTTTACTTGTCCTTAAGTAAATGCTCATCAAAGTAATTGTTGTTTTGTTTAAGTAGAATATTTTGACTCTTTCCAGCTCTGGTCAGAATGTACATACCATAGAATACAGAGCATAGATGGCCACGAGGGTCAACAGGAGGCCGATAGCGATGATTGTGTATGTCACCACATACAGGATGAATAACCAGTTCCTGTAATCCTGTGTTGGAGGTGATGTCGCTGTGATCGTAGCTTTGGTTCTGTGAGGTGTTGTCCATGTGAGACCTTCCATTCTTCAGAGTGAAACCTGTTTGAGAGATCAGGTTATTAAAGGGAGCAGGTTTTTAATATCTACCTAACATTGTTCAGTGACATCACTAAAGCTGTGAGGTGAAGTTCACACAAACACAGTGTCCCTATAGTTTACCCACAATCATATCAAATCACAAACTGCTGTCTTTCACTTTCTATCATCATTCCTCAACATTTGTTACATTTAACATTTATTTAATCAAAGAAGAAAAGAAGAACAAGTTCTATTACAAAAATATTTTTACTTGTTGATGTTTCTTCTCACTCTGCACAGCTAGGTTACTACAATGCAAACAAATGGACTGCATTTAGAAGAAATTGTTACAGCTTAACAATTTGGAGCAGCCAGACTTCGATGGCTATGTGAGAAACATTATTGTCTGGCTTAGCTAGTCAGAGGCCGGGTAGGAGACGTCACGCCTTCACCAGAGTAGGAATCGCATAGTTGCCTCCTGTACTCGATGCCCCACAACTTGTTGAACGCCCCTCTGTCCTCTGTGGTTGATGAGGAGGTTTACATGACTATTAATCCACTTGATGAACCATCTGCAGATTTTATCTTCCTTGTTGGTGTTTATTCTGACATTTGGAATAAACATTTGTTGCATATAAAACCTGTTTCTTTATCAAAATAAATAAAATTGACAAAGTAACTATTGAATATGCCATTAATGGGGTTTATGGATTTTACACTTTATTTCATCACAGATTGAAAAAGTCAAACCTACATTTTTAAAGGAATCATTAAACTGTAGGCTTCAAAAAACAAACAACATGTGAACACATTTAAATAACTGAATAAGGCCGACTGTAGAAGAACAACATTAAGTATCAAGTTAAAAAATTTTCAAAAAATAACATGTTGTTTTACTCACGCTATTAGAAGTAACTTCGGCCCTGTCTTTAGCCCCTGGTCTTCTCAGCCCTGGAAGCCTGTCTAAAACTATTCCCAGATCCTGCTCTGGACCTCCTCTACTCAGCTTCCCACACTCTCAGCCACAGTTTCCCCCTTTTCTCATCACA